AAAGTCAATTGAAAGAAGAAATGATCAAGGCAAAGTTTTGTACGAACCAACACAAATAAACTGCAAACTTCCAGCAGGGAGCCAGTGATGCTGGGTGATGCCAATGATGATGCCCCACAGTGGCACACTCAACCATCTTCCAGGGAGCATTCCTTCCTCATCGGCAGCAGTGTAGCTAGGTCATCAAACTTCCTTTAGCTCATTGGTCAGACCTCAGATAAACTAATATATCAATACATTAGATAATAATATATTATTAAACGAAAGTATATATTCAAAAGAAATTATTTTTAAAACCATGAACATTGAAAAATCATAACTAACAAATAGGCCTATAATATAAATAATAATTGAAATAGCAATTATAACATGACAGCATGAAAATGATTATAGAATGTGTAGAGGGAAAAAAATATTTAAATTATAAACCTTCTGACTGTAATAATTAGAGCAGCTCTTCTTGACTCTTACAGGGCAAACACCTACAAATATCAAACATATTTTAGTTATTATATGCATAATTCAACAATGCAAGAAAAATTTGTTTTAATAAATCTATACACATTATTATTATTCTGTCAATTATCTAAAATCTGAAATAGTAAAGAACCAACTGTATATCTAGAGGCACGCTTACTGACAAACACATAAAGCAAAAAAATACAAACCTAAAAATATACATGAATGGTTTCTAGAGTTACCTGAAGCCACACTTAGTGACCTTTAGTGACAAACACACAATAAATAAAACATACATACATCAAGATATATGTTTAATTAAATTAAATTAAAAAGTTTATTCAGCAAAGTATCATTGAATACACATCACTAAGTGAGACACGAAGTTTTCACTTTGTTGGACAACAGAAGTGGTAGATCTTTGTGGTGAAAAACACACATAAAGATAAAAATTTGGACCACCCTAAGGTTTCCAAGTCTGAATAAATTTTTCTTTATTGTTCGCTCCCATATGTATGACTACCATTCCTCGTCACATTTATATAGTTTTTGCAAATCGTATGCTAGAATAAAGAAGCCATTAGCAGTCAGCAGGCGTTAAAAAGTATTAAAGGATTGTAAGATTATTATTATCTTAGATTACAAATAAAATTAAAAAAAGAATTTGGCTTCGCTGATCCAGTTGCTTTTCAGTACTTCCCACATTTATAAAAAATTTTACGATCACTAGCAATAAAGAAATGTTAAAAATTTGAAAAAAAAATTAAACGAATGATATTGAAATAAATCTCAATAACTAATTAAGTTAGAAGTGGGTCTGTAGGGTGTAGAGTCAGTCCCTCCCGCATTTATAAAAAAAAAGTACAATCACTAGCAACGAAAAAATGTTAAAAATTTGAAACACTAATTTTAAGTGATGATATTGAAAATTAAATAAATCTTGATAATTAATTAAGTTAGAAGGGGGTCCATAGAGTGGAGTCAGTCCCTTCCAGATTTATAAAAAAAGTTTACAATCACTAACAATAAAGAAAGGTTAAAAATTTGAAACACTAATTAAGCGAATGATATTGAAAATTAAATAAATCTCGATAATTAAGTTAGAAGCGGGTCCGTAGTGTGTAGAGTCGGACTCACGGCACGTATTATCGTCCGACGAACATATACATCAGAAAAAAACGATTACGGATTAAATAAAACAAAAATAAATATTACCTGGACTCCATCTTTCAACATTTGAGCAAAATCCGGACTTCTTGACGCGTCCATCAACATCTCTTGATATATTTAACCGACGATTTGCAACAGAAGCAGCTGGAGAAAAACCAGTTCGAAATTAATACGAAAAAAATATATCATAAACTACAAGTACGGAAAGCCAAAAACTTTTAAAATTTCACAACAAATTCCAAATGCAACTTGTTTTAAGTATAAACGCAAGACTTGGAAAATCCAAATACGCACAGACATGATGAAGACGACGAAATAACAAACAACAGAAAATTGTTACATATAAATACAATCTCTCACAACTCTATATAAACATAAATATATATATATTATATATATATACAAATTAACAACCGTATATAACACTATATTGAATCAATAACTCTACATAACTATATATCAATCTATATAACAGTATACAATCCTATAAAACTGTATATAAACTATATATACACACATATATATTAAACTAACATAAATTTAAATAACCAGGCATTTTTACTATTGTTGCTATTTGTTATTAATATTATGATTATTAATATTAAATACCATAATTAGTAATTAAATATTTTTATCGTATAATAACTTAGAATAATATGATGACAGTATTAAACAACATACATCCATACTAAACATGCATGCATACATATGTACATACATAAACATTCGTATGTTTGTATGTCTTTGTTTTTATGTGTTTGTATGTGTATGTGTCTTTTTTGTTGTCAGGTTTAACTGATTTTAAATAGCAGTTGTTCCAAAATAACAGTAAAAATTTGTCGATTACGAAGAGCTGTTAATAATGGACTGTGGAATGCCTCCATTTGACAAACTCCGATGGAACGCAGAAATCGTAAAAACAAATTATATTGACGAGCAACGTCCGGATTGAATATGCTATATAACTAAGATACATTTTAGTACCATGAAATATTAATTACTGCAAACCGCATACATCCTTATAATTGAGAGAGAGAGAGAGAGAGCGAGAGAGAGAGCGAGAGAGAGAGAGAGAGAGAGAGGGATATTTATTTTAGAGCTAAATTGAAAATTCACAGCAGATTCTGATAATACTCAAATAAATGAAACAACTTAAACTACCAAACTAATTTTCAACGCATTTTTTAGGTCTCATCACCTTTCCATATGTTTTTAGAACCATTCCCAAAATATTCATTTCAAAATTGGGTCATTCATTAAATTGGTGCTTAACCTGTCAATCGATCTCGGTTGTAATTTGGACTGGTGGCCTGCGGATCTGTCAGGCTGATTGGAAAAAACAAAATGTTAAATGATTAATTTCATATTTATATTTTTCAAAAACCTTCAACAAACCGCTGACTAATGTAATATACAATCACGGTACAGAATGAACAAAATCCAAATAACAACTAAATAAATAAAAGTAACATTACTGTAACTGAACTATTGAATATTTGATGGCTAATCAGTAAAAACAACATAGGAAGCTAATTTAAACAAAGAATTTGATAACGTTAGAAGTTTTTGTGAAAATCAAATGACAGTTCCATTGAAAGTAACAGTATTTACTTCACAGAAGCAATCAATTGTGCTTGACAGGGGGACATCAATCCATATTAAAAAAATGGTTCTGTCCACTGATTTTGATGAGATGTAGGAAGATGATAAGATGATGAAGCATTTGAATGATAACAAAAGAATTAACAGTGAAGAATTATTTATCAAATCGAGACAGCCTCCACAACAAAAAATAAAATAATGATATTGAAAAGGAAATTAAAACACAAATATTACCAGCCAATATGATTCTTACTCCTTCATCCTGCAGTAATAAATGAGAGAAACAAACATCCACAATATTAACTCAGCCCAGCTTGAGGAAATTTGAAAAATAGATGACTGACAAATTCTTTCTTGTTAAGCTTTGAAAATAAGTTGAAAAAAGCAAGAGTTAAATTGTTAACACTGTTGTTATGCAACACTTTTAGTAGTTAAAACCGAAAATTAAAAAAAAAAACACAAGTTTTTTTAATTTTAAATTTTATAAAAATTTGAAGTCCACTGTTTTACAAAAACACTGAAAAATCTGATTAAGTACATATGGTTGATGAATAACTTCAATTATTCTTGTTTGCAGATGATGATTCTGTCTCTTGAACCAGATGAGATGTAGGAAAGAGGACGAAACATCTGTATAATAAAAAAAAATTAACCGTAAAAAATTAATCATCAAAACAAGATAAATTATTGAAACAGAAATTAATAAACTCACAATTATTACTCACCAATCAAATTCTTGGTAATAAAATAACGAAAGTTCAAACAATGGTACAAGAGTTGGTTTGTGATACTATGTGATGAACTTCTGATAAACTTTTGGTGAACTTCCCATACATTAAAGAATTCTTATGTGGGTGTCAAGAAAAAGTTCAACAAATGATCTACACATACCCACATTTGAGATCATTAAGCTGGTCACCAATCTCTGCCAATGCAGTGTCTTCATTTTCAGAGCTATTGTGTGTTCATGAAGATTATATAAATTTTTTAATGTAGAACAAAAAAAATTTTAAAAAAGTATAAAACAAGAACAAACCATTAATTTATCAACACTAGAATGAAGGAAGGCTATAATTTTATAACAAGCATTACATAAATAAAAAGCACTGCTGAGAAATATGTACTGAAAAAAGAAACAAACCATTTATTTACCTATCAACATTAGAATGAAGAAAAACTACATTTAACATCTAACCTGATATGAAGACTGCATGGGCTAACTAACTAAGGATGGTTCTTGAAAGTTAGACTAACTAAGTGAAAGTTAGCTCAGCTGGCTTTTGGCTTAGAAATTAAAAATGATGCTGTCTGACAAATCACTGATGAGAATTCTATCTTGTGGAACTTTGAAAATAAGTTTCAAAAATTACATGTTAAGAAGTTAAGAACAATTACATTTTAAAATTTTGCATAGTTTTATTATGCAATGTTTTTAGCAGAAAAAACAGAAAGAAGGAAAAAAATGGACAAAGTAGACATTTTGACTTGTGAAAGGAGAAAGGCTAGCAAACATTTTTAAGCTATTTCAGAAAAATAAAAAGTATTATAAATTAAATTTTTTTTATGAAATAGAACATAATTTTAAGTTTGAAGTGATATTTAGTATAATTATTAGGTTAGTTTGTTGACTTCAGACAAGTACATTTGGAGTTATTTGTGATTTTCATTTTATAAATAAAATATATAAATAAATAATTAAATTTAAAATTTAAATTTAAAATTAAATCTTAAATTTAAATGCAGTACTTTAAATGAAAAAAAAACATAAAAACCTGAACAAAGACTTATTTGCCAAACAATAAATTGCTTTTTAAATGAATTTGATGATTAAACTGACGAGAAACATCAATATCGCGGTAAATTAGCAAAATGTTGACGAAAACAAAACAAAAACCCAAGCGTGAAATAAAATTTTTGCGAGTTGAGAGATGTGCTGTTTCGAGACGCTCTAATTTATCAAACTATTCGATAACTCAAATACAATTTTAGAGTCGGTTTAAAATCTAAAGTTTTTAAAAGGGTACGCGACCAAACAAATTAAACATTCAAAATTACAGTTATTTTCAGCAATTGTTGAAACAGAAAACATAAAATTTTCATTATTATCATTAGAAAAAATGTTATTTTCACCATATGAAGTAGCTATAAATACAGTATGACATACAGAATAATATATATTACACACATATATCATATATATAATTATAATTGAAAATAATTTCACAACTCATCAACTATTAATACAACTCTCTTTTTGCATTATTTTTGAACACTTGTTATTCCCGAATTTCACAATTTTGAAATCTCACCTTTCAAGATATATATATATATATATATATATATATATATATATATATATATATATATATATATATATATATATATATATATATATATATACAACTATTATAAATGAGAATAAAATGTTTTTTAAGAAATGTCATTAAACATCCTCTTTACACAATGTTTTGTATCTAGTACAACAGAGTAAACGCGCAAGGGAAATGTTAGCCCTACTGCCTAAAAATATAAAAAAGGACGGAAAGTAGATAATTAAGATGGATAATTATATTTAATAATTAAATATATCGATGCCGCAGTAATTTTCATAATATTAAGGTCGTAGCAACTACAAAAGAGATGTTTTTAGCACTAGTAACAGAGCAGTAGTATACACAAATTAAATTATTTAAAGTATTTAGAACAGCAAATGGTAGCAAATGTACACAACAGGAATAGAGAGACGTATCATTAGTACTGACAGAGCTTGAATAAATTTTTGCAATAGTTATAACCATTACTAAAAGCAGTAGTAGTAATGGTAGTAGTAAAATTAGTTGTAGTAATAGTACAAGTAGTGAAAGTAGTTATTAGTAGTAGTAAAAGAAAAATTATTTTAGTAGCAGCGCAAAGAAACAATGTTAAAAGTTATTTTTACATTCAAATGCTTGCAGTCTGAGATGGAAAGGTTGGGTATGATGGAGATGATTGAATAAATAGTGATGAGGAGGATGTCGAAGGTGATAACGATGGTGACGACGAAGAATGAGATGATGTCGTTGTTGTTGATGATGGTGACGACGACGACGACGATGAAGAAGATGATGTTGATCCTGATACTGCATTGTTTCCCAAGTTATCTGTCCAATAAGAAAAAATTATTCAATTTAACTAAAAGAAATCGGTCAATCCGATCGTCAGCCATCCAATCAAGAACCAACCTGGATGCCACACAACACTATAATAAACAGCCAACGCTACGGCCGCTAACGAAACAGCTATTACGTAGGCAACGACTGTTGCTAATCGAATCCACTTTTTGTTCGACTTTGAGGCCATTTTAGCTGCCCTGTTCCTGTGCTCGCCGGCGTAACTTGGACGTTTGTTTGTTGAGGCTGTCGTCGCTGCCGAGTGGGATGGCTTCAAGATGCCAGCAGGAGGCATCGTCGATGTGCTCGTGTTGTTAGTGCTCTTGCCAGGCTCCTTTTTCGTCGTCTTCTTAGTGAATTTGTTGAGAAAGTATGAGCCGTTGTTACTGCTTTTGAAGTTGCCGTTGTTGTTGTCGGTGCCACATGTGTCGTCGTCATTGCTGTGGTCGTGCGACTTTTCATAAATATTTATCGCGATCGTTTCTGCAAAGTTGTCGCCCTCAAATTTTTTGTTTTTGTTGTTTCTGTGGATGTTGCTGTTACTTGATTTAAAATTGACAGCCTCATCCTCCCCGCCATCATCCTCATTCCCTCCTACTTTCCACGTAGTTTTCTTCTTCTTAACTGGCATCCTCCTATCTTGCGGGAGAATTTAAAAAATGATACGCCTACAATAATGCTATTATTTACGATTACAGAGTAATATAAATCATCGTAATATTTCAATGTAGAGTTATTAAGTAATATTTTTATATGCGTGATCCTTGTGTGTTTGTTTATGCATGCCTGTGTACCCTATCAATTTTACATACAGCAAGGATGAAATACGCTGCCTCGATGCCGGAGAATGACATTTATATAGCGCAGAGTTCATTCACTTAAATCTTTTACTGAAAAAAATAAAGAACTACAAAATTGATACAAGGCAAATGACGAGGAATAAACGTAACAACTGTGTGGTGCGTACGTTTCAAATACATTAATCTTGCATTTCATTGCTCTGTGAAACACTTTTTTTCTAAATATCATATTTTGAAAGAAAAGATTCAAATCAAATCCAAATATAAAATGTTTGTGCTTTCTAATCTATACGAATGTATTATTTCTGACGTTATTGAATCATTCATATTTATTTACACGAGAAATTTATTTTGAAATGTCGCAAAGTTACAAGTTCATCATCGAAATTTTCATCAATTTTTTAAAACTGTCCTTATTTTAATAAAGAATTAAATTGGGAGCAGTTAGAAAACAATATGTCTTGCGATCAAATAAACCACCAACCAACCTGCAACTTTGATCTAAACGAACTTCATAATCCTCTAATACCGAACTTGGAAGTTTGCAAACATCCATCCCCAAATAGCACCTGCCCCATTACTAACCTCCCAAAACCGTGCGGTCCCAGATGTACAAACGTTAAAGTGAAATGTAAGTCGGTGCCGAATCAGAACAAACCGGATCACGCAGTCGATTCCTACCATTCGGATCTTCGGGTCCAGAATTATCTCTACCATGAGAACAACAGACTGTACTGTCACGGCATATTCAACGAAGCGGGGTTAGTAACATAAAATTCATACTTCGAACGTAATATTACAAACCCGTCGTGGAAACACGAATCGATCATTTGACAGATTTATCTCAAAGCAGGCTCGTGTTAACAAACATACTTCAGAATGAATAATAAAAAAAATGTCACACAAACCTCAAAATATTTCAGGAGAAGGGTGGACGATGCAGGGCGAAACAATCCAAAACATGCATGCTTCTTCAAGGTGGGCGACGCTAATAAACTGGCGCGATCACATTCGCACGCAGAAAGATGTTACAAAAAATGGATCGACAATCACGAGGAGAGGAATGCTGCCTACGCAAGCAATCCCTTGGCCCCCTTCTATACAGATCAATTGCAGAGGAATGGTCCATTCTACGATGAGGACGCGAGACAAACCAGGATGCAAAAGTTCTACAAGAAGCCCTGCTAAATTTTAAAGTAATATAATATCGATGAGTGAAAATTGCATCAAAGTCAAATGTCAATAGAACTGCTAAAAAACTTCAAAATACAATATTCATCAAACAATCTGGGAGGATTGCTTGCTTCACTTGCGTAACATCGATTCTTATCACAAAAATTAACTTACTTTTTAACTTATTTTCAGGTATATAAAAATATATATAACAATATTACGCCATTTATTATTTTTGAATTAATTTGATTACCTTAACATTTGTTTTGAACGAAGCTTCTATTAACGCTATGGTCAAAATGGAAAAAATTCCAACAACCCGAATTAAAAATGAGGAGACGAGGACGAACGACGACGGTGGTCGCAAGTGGTGATGATGAGAACGAAAAATGATTATGACGATGATTAGATGGAAATGATTAAGACGATATCAAACCAAGATGACCATGATTAAGACGATATCAAACCAAGATGACCATGATTAAGACGATATCAAACCAAGATGACCATGATTAAGACGATGAGGATGATTTTAAAAACTATTACAAAGGTTAATTAATCATAAGATTGCAATGATGATATGATGGTAGTACAATAATAGCAATAAGATTACTAGTGATTATAATACTAATTGTAATAATAATAAGGGAGAAGATAGACTGCGAAGGCTGTTTGAAAGGTAGCAGCGGGACAGTGGCGGGGAGAATATGACTCAATAGCGAAATAAATTAATGAAAGAATGGATTTATGAAAAGATGAATGAATGAACGAATCAATTAATCAAAACATGATTTTAGTTTTGTATGAATGAATGAATTAATTAATGAATTAATTAATTAATGGACGAATCAATCAATCAATCAGTGAATAAACCAATGAAGAACAAAGAAAAAAATAAATAACTATAAAGAGTAAAGATTAAAAATATAAGAACAAACAAACTTTATTAATCAGTCACTCAAGCAAACATTGCATATAGGCATTTAGAGTTTAATAAGGATGAACGAAACAAAACGAAACGAACGAACGGTATATTAAATGCATGAACAAACAAACGAACGAACGTACGAACAAACAAACGAACCATTTAAATTTAGGTGGATGAATTATTAGATGGATAGAGTGGGTTATGCTAACAGCAATAAATAATATAAGAACGAATAGATATAGAAACAGATGGATGGATATATGAACAGATATTGCAGATAGATGGATTGAAGAATCAGAAAACGAGCACATACACTGATCACATTACAAAAAAAATTCAGAAAAGATGAACGATTAAACAAATGAACATAAAAAAAATAAATAAAAAGACGGATAGACTGACCGACAATCGAGGCGGCAGAGCCAAAAATGAGCAAACATTATTTTACAATTTTGATTGAATTTACTTTCATACGTATAGAAACAGAAAACGAAACCAATGAGAAACCCAAAAATAATAGTATTATTTAAAGCCGAAGAGTATTGAGACAGGAGAGGAGGAGGTGAGGGAGAGGAAAGAACAAACAGAAAGATAATAATAATAATTAAACACGGGACTATTTTCACACATAATTTGGGATTGACTACGAAGCCTAAAGCTAAAAATTATTATTCATAAATAGGCGAACGTGGAGTGAATGAAAGAAAGAAAACGAAAAAATAGGGTAAAAACTAAAGAACGAAAGTAATAAAATAAATGAATGAATTAGTGAAACGTATGAAAACAATGAACGCGCATGTATAGAAATTTAGGGGTAAGACATTCTGAGATGCAGTTAGTAATGAATCCGAAAGCATTGCTCGCGTTGCTAAGCAATTATTTTCGAGCAAAAATAATTATATTTGCATTAAAAAAATAACATATTTATATAAATATATGTAATTAGCACAATTATCAAAGTTTTCTTTTAATTTTACAAGAATTATTAACCACCTAAATCAAGACTAATCAATTAATTTAAATCAGTTTAAATCATGGACAGTAATTTCCAATCAATCTGAATGCTCCCAATGAGAGGCTGTTTGTGATGCAACGAACTAGTATTTTTGATAAATAAAAACAACAACAAAAACAACAATAATAATAATGATAATGCAATAGATAATAATAGCACTGGTGATAAAAATTATGAAATAAATAACGATAATGTTGTTAGCAAAAAAGCTTTTTATGCGCAAAAGACAAGAATGAAGGAAAACATTCCACCAAGTGAAAGAATGAAAAACAGAAAAGAACAAAAGACAGACAGAACAAAAATAACAATAACAAAAATAATAATAACAACAACAATAATAATGATGATAACATTTCAGACGAGAAACCCAATTCAAATTCAACAACTAACACAGATGACAGCTATCTATCATTCCTTTCATTCAGACCATCATTTCCCTCATCTTCCTCATTCGATTTTCTTTCATCACCACCACTATCAACATCATCATCATAATTACCATCCTCCATCTAATCAACCTTAAAGATACACATATCTCAATAATATAGCAACAATCATCATCACTTGATGTAACCATTCTTAATACTTCCAGCCCCATTAATATGGAAACCAGCGGAATTTCCATTTTCCAAAACTTTCCTGGGAATCTCCGGAGAATCATCGCACATAAACTTCAATGGCTTGTTCACTTTTTTAGCGGAACCTCCTAAATTTCCAGAAAAACCATTCACCACGTAGACACCATTTTTAACATAACGATCCTCATCATCATCATCATGCTGACGAATATTATTCAAATTATTATTATTATTATTATTGCTGCTGCTGCTGCTAATGTAGTCGCTCCTATTACTTCTATTGTTGTTGTTGATAGCGTCGTCATCGTCATACTCAGGATCTTTTTTTGGGGGCGGAGAATTAAAGGGAGATATGGAGTTATTTAGTATGAGGGAGAGCCTGTTGGCACTGTTACTCGTATGGCGGGCCGTTACGTCCTTCTTGTTCAACTGGAAGTTTGGTGAACAATTAGTTACAATGATTATTAATGTAAGAAATAACAATATAACATATTATTTTATAATAATACCATTATTAAAGAAAATAATTACGATTTCGTTCTCATTATTGTTGCTATCGGCCTTAAAGATAGGATAAATAATATCAAAGAAAGGCACTGTGAACAATAAACGGACGATACAGTGACGAATAAATAAATAAAAAACATCATTAACCAATATTAATGAGTAATATTAATAAGCAGGATTGTTAATAACGGGGTAGCTGCATTTATTTGATAAGTAGTTACGATATTGATGGCGGCGTCGCTTCTGAATCTCATACCATTACTTTTGAACTGAAAAAATTTTCTTCTTCAGGCTGTGTTAAATAATAATTGAGAAACTTTGATTCTATATCAGTTAACCGTTCTTTTAACTTTAACACTTGGTCCTGAGACTACCCCGTGGCCTTGATTTGTGGCTAAAACGTGTTAACAAGTGATAAACCAAGTCGGGCAAATATAACCCTCGAACGTTGAAAACTGCTTCTTTCAGGACAAAATAACTATTTCAATTTAGAACATCACTAACCTAGAATATACATCGTGAAATCGCGCTCATTTTAATTTACACAATCGATCTAACGTTCAACGTACCGACAACCAGGGCTTTGGAGCGGAGCTGGAGCAATCGGAGCAACCATATTCTGGTCGGAGCGTGAGCGGAGCCGGAGCACACAAATTTTAAGTGCTCCATGCTCCAATAATAAAAAAAAATATTTAGTTAAAAAATAAAAAAAATATCATTTTTTAATATTTTGTATCTTTTAGTTCAACTCAAAAAATTTTTTTTGTTATGATATTTAGAATCTTTCATAGCAAAGCAATGGCTTCCTTTTATACGCCATTTGTAAACACTAGTTGACTTTTTCACTAATCTTTTTTTCTGCAATCGTAAATTCGTAATCGCACATCAAAAGTAAGATTCTTATGAGAATTTTTTAAATAATATAATTTTTAATTTAAAAAGCAATACATTACTTCTTAACAAAATTTAAATTTTTAATTAAAATTAAATTAGGTCCGGATATGACTTCTAACCAAAATTTGTGTCAATAACCTATAATCGATAGTCGCTTTTTGAAAAATGATCTGGAAAATATATTTGAGTTTGAAGAAGAAAATGGACAAAAAAAGTCAGCTAGATGTAAGCTAAAAAATAATGATGTGCAATGCAATTTTCAGGCAATGGGAACAAGTGTGTCAAAAAAGTTTAATCTTTGGCGTCATGTGAAACGTAATTATCCTAAAATCTATGATGAGTTAGTAAAACAAAAAGATGAAAACGATAAAGCTGCCTCAGATAAAAAACGTGGTAATGAAAATGATGCCACGCCATCTAAAAAAAAATAAAAACTGTACAAGAAAACATGAGCACATATTTTACATCGTCAAAAGTTACAATCACTATGGATGCAAGTACTTTTCAAGAAGGACTTGTTGAGATGATTTGTTTGAGTATGGTTCCATTTACTTCATTTACATTAAAAAACAAAGGATTTCAAAAAATTGTTGGTGAAATGGCAAAAAAACTCGGTGTATCAATGGGGCATGATGCAGTTCGACATTTGGTAATAACCACAGCAGATTCTTCTCGCATGAAACTGAGGCAAACTTTGAGGGAACAGTTATGTTATTTGAAGCTAGATGCAGCAACTCGTGGTAATAAAAACTATCTTGCCATTAATTTACAATTTTATAATGAAACAAGTAATAAGTCTGAAATAAAAACCCTAGATATAGTTGACACTGAAGGAAATCATAACTCTTTGTATGTAAAAAATCAAATTAAAGAAACCTTAAAAAAATTTGATATTGAAGAAAAACAAATACTTAGTATTTGTGTAGATAATGCAGCAAACATGACATCTGCTGTAAATAAACTTGGAATTCGTGAAAGCATCACTCAAGGTGAAGGTAATGAAGAACCTGAGGATATTGATGAGAACAGTGCAAACATTTTGCAACAGTGGGTCAATGATCCTTCTGAAATATTACCACAGTGGGTTAATGAAGACACAAACATTCAATTAATGAGGTGTGGGATTCATACTCTTCAACTGGCCATTTGGGATGGATTAAAAAATGAACGAGTAACAAAAATTCTAGGAAGAATTAGGCAAGTTGTAGTAAAATTACGAACACCAACAATCCGTAGTATTTTATTGAAAATGTATGGAAAAACACAATCTTTAGATACAGTAACAAGATGGGGTTCAACATATGCAATGCTTGATCGTCTTCTGTTTTTCAAAGACTATTGCGAACAAGTTGTAGCTGCTGCAG